TTTCGGAAGCTGCATGTGCCATATTAGTCAGATTGCCCTATTGTAGGATAAAGTGCGGTTTTCCAGAGGGGCTTTAGAAAGATCGCCTAAAGGCTGTTGGTGTTTACAGGATTCGGCTTGTAGAAGACCACTTGCTTTTAGTAAGTGTAGTTTAGCACATGGTCTTTGCTGAAACTAACAAACTTGTATTGAATACTTTCACATCCAGAGCGTGAGTTCAGTTCATTCACGCTTCCCTAGTTAGCGTTACAGAATTTAAAGCAATTGTTTGGTGAGCTTAAAGGGCGTATAGGTTGCAAAGAAAATGCAAAGTGTTAAAAATATCTCTGGAGAAAGCAAAAAAGTACGAGTAGTTCAAAAATCAAAATCTTCAGAATGCTAATTGCCGGGTGATGCAGCTTCGGTTAGCTTCTTATTATATGATATTTATTTAACAGTGGTTGCTAGAAACAACTTTATAAGCACTGGTTCCAGGACAGATATTAGCCGATAGTAAAGACAGAACTGCTCCTGGCGTGTGGAAGCGTCCTAGTAACATCACTAACAGGAGACATCCGTCTTTAGAATCTGAGCGATTCTGGTATTCTTACTAAATATGAAAGTGCTGGGGATTTTTTGTGTAGCATATAAAAAAAATTAATAATTTAGCTGAGATCAAGATGTTTCTGTTCACTAAAGAGCACACGCCTTAATTCGGCGGCATTTTGCTAGTTGCGTTTACAGTGGTAAAATAAACAATTGCAATTGATTAAAAAAATATGATGGCCGCAGCTCCAACAGTCCATCTAGAGCACTTATCATGCTGAAGCTTTCAGTCGTTCACCACCAGACGCTCGCGTACCACGTCGCCGTTCTCGCTCGTGGCGTCGCCGTGTACAACAGATGGAACGCGCTGAACGTCAGCGTGTTTTGCATGCAGGAAACCACGGCCAACACTGGAAGCGCAGACGATTGTGCGAATGGGTCAAGAAGACACGCAGTGCTAATGCGTCACCACTGCGTCAACAAATTAAGCCCAACGCTAATGACCCTAGCAAAGTTCCGGACAATCGTCAGCAACGAACACGAAGTGCCACGCCTGTTCGTTCCGCAGGTATTGCAGTTCCGGAAAGCAATAAATTTAAAACAAACCCAGTTTAGCCGGTCCGAAGAATGCCAGCGAAGAAAGCAAGTGCAGGAAATCGTCTGCAGCAACGATCTTGTACACCGGAACTAACACACAGTAGATCACTAGTTTGACAAAGAACGATACCCCAGTCAGTCTACCCCGCCTGATCTACCCTCTCCCGGATATGGATCAATATTTCGTTGCGGAATATCCCAACCCGAGCTCGAATTTAAAAATAAAGCTTAAATTTTTTTTTTTAATTTTTTTGGTACCTTGGATTTTTGTCGATATTTTTTCAAATATTTTTTTGTAAGGCTTAAATTTTCATAGGTTTTGAATCAATGTTCATCACTTCTATGTTTCTTTATCCTTTACCCCTCCTTGACATTTTGATAATTTCATCAGTTGCAGCTGGAGGCTTTTCCAATTGCTTTCCCAATCGCCTGATAGTCAGCCTGCTGCATGTGTCGTCTCCTGATGGGTTCCAACTCAGCGGTTTTCTCGACTGAAGCATAAACGTTAAGCGTCACCTCTCTGGCCCTGATCGTTATTGCACTTAAGTCATAATGAAGTATCTTGCTGACTGGATGACATCCTCGGTGAAAATCTAAGTAAAAAACTCATCTAATAACTTGGCATTAGACAGTTCCTGAAAAAAAAAGCGAAAATTGGCTCACTAGTTCAAAGTCATGAAAAAAGACAAAAAGGTGGTTGCCTCTTTTTCCAAACTTAACAAATTTTGTTATTTTATCAAAAACTGTACTCTAGCAGTGTGAGGGGATAGGAGCTAGTACTGTTGTCTTGTTTTGTTCCTCATGCTTACAAGCAAGGGCCTGTCTTGCTCGGCTCACCCATTTTTATGTGTTTTTTGCAGCTATTTGATGCAGAAAATGCATATCGACGAGAGGTTGTCTGTGTGTGTGTATATGCGTGTCTGTTTGTGCGCTGGGCGTGTGTACTAATTTTTCATTTCGAGACCTACAAAAGCTACAGGGTTGAAAATTTGGAAAATTAATTTATATGTATGTGCGCGCCCCCATCCCCGAGATGGGCGGTCTTATACACACATGTGGGCCCGCGAAAGTTTTTTGCGAGTAAGCCGCTAACTCGGGAACCAGAAAAGCTAGAAGGCTTAAAATTTTAAGGGGATATTCCCCGTC